AAAAAAAAAAAAACAAAAACAAAACCAGATTTGAACTTCCTATTTGCTGGCCCCCTAATCCACCAAGAAAGCATTCTCCTTAAAGAATTTCATTCTGCTTGTATGCCTAGTGCCAAATGCAGACAGAAGACAGGAAATAAATAATTGTTGCCTGTATGAATAGGAAAAAAACAAAGTCTAAAAGAAAACAAGTTTTCTCTTTTTAAAAACACATCCCTTTCCAAACTAAACAGGCTTCAGAATTACACTTCTGGATAGGACAACATTAACTGGTACTAAACTAGCCTTCCTGCTATCAACTATTATACAAGTGAACAAATATGTAAAGCAACTTTTTCTGGCATTAAACAAGTCAGAACATTGTGATTCCTGAAAGAAGGGAAACACATGAGGTGAGGCCCATGACCACCTCAGCTCTCTGCCTAGGGACTTTTCTTAATTATGGTGCAGTGAGCTGAAATCTAAGCAGGGCAAGGTAAGGTTGAAGAAAAGGTACTCAAGAAAGGAAACAATCCAAGCAGAGGACAGCAGTCCACTGAGCTAAGGAGGCATAGATTAGAGTTTAAACAGCTGACATCTGCGGTGCAAGGCCCCAGAGGAAAGAGATCTGTGCAAAGGAGAGGTCCTGGTGTGGAAGTTCTCTAAGAATCCTCAGCTGTGATCGAGGCTGCACATGCCTAAGGCAAGACAAAACTCACAGAACTGCTGAAGGATTAAAAACAAAATAGAGATAACTAGAGGGCAAAGAGTAATGGGGGCAATGGAAATCCTAGGAGTTCTGGCCAGTCATGGTGGTGAAACAACAGGATACCTCATCAACACCCTGGGAATCCTGCTGAGACACCCAAAAAGCAGAGCCCTGGAAATAAAAACCAATTCTGAGAGTAAGGCCTATTCTGGACCTGCTTTAACTAAGCCTAAAATAAGCCCTGACAAGTTCAGGAAGGAGGCAGAAGTTGGGAAGTAAGAATCCCACCAAATCAGATGCACTTGGGAAACACCTTAAGCTCTCCACAGACACAGTCAACAAAACATAAAACCAAACCTAAACAAGCTGAAGGTTATATGTCAGTAAATGAATTATTAAAAAAAAAAAAAAAAAAAAAAAAAAAAAAAAAAAACGAAAACAAAATCAACATTTCTCATATGAAGATAACAGAATTCGAGTCAGAAAAGGGTCAGCAGAAATTGACCCCAAGATGGCCCAGATGTTGGATTTAACAAATGAACTAAAGTAGCCAGTATAAATGCTTGAAAATTTTAAGAAAAGTATGTTCAAAGACTTCACTTTTAGTATATAGAGTATACAGATAGGTATACAGAGTATCTCAGCAGAAGAATGAAGCCATTAAAAAAAATTCTAGAACTGAAAAAAAGACATGGAGGGACTTAAAAGATGATTAGAGCTGGAAGAGTCAGTGAACTTGAAAACATTGATATAAACCATCCAATCTGAAGAACTGAGAGAAAAACCACATTGACTTACAGATCCCAGAAAATCAGCCTTCAAACCACAGAGCTTTGAAAGAGGTCACCTCACTTACAATTTCACATTATATATAAATTAAGGATGATTATATAAATATACCTTACAGCTCCAGGGAAGAATTTCAATGATTATAAAAGGGGCTACAAACAACAAGCCACTGAAATCAACTGCTATAATAGCAGTTTCACTTTTTTTTCAGCACTCCTATTTGCACTTAAAATCTAATCTACCGTTTTACCATAATCCTTCAAGACTCTGCAAAAATAAATGAATGAGTCCAGTCATTCACCAGGACCAGGAATTGCACTAAGCACAAGGGTTACTGCAGTCAACTGGAATGACAAAGTATTTACCTTCATGGAACTTCTCTTCTAGTCAGAAAGACAGATAATAAACACATT